AAACAATTCCTTGGGAACTCTTTAAGTTAGTGGATTTTGTTTTTCTCCTTGAAGGATCTTTGGGACTTGGACACTGTTTTTGCAAGTTGTAACAGGATGGACGTGGTGTGTCCCTAAGTTTTAGCACCCAGCATAGTGCCAGATACAATTAGATTGAATACCAGTACGATTTCTCCCTCAAATAGAAAAATAGCTCCTGAATGGGAAGCTCTGTCTTCAAGAAATCTTTGAGCTCCTCTAGCTCCTTTCTTCGTTTTGTAGACAAGATCCCTGAGCCTCGGTGAAGGGAGGAGGCTTCTGAAGCCATGTGGATCTGACTGGAATTCTAGGGGTCTTTCTTACTCCCAACTTCATGTATTTTCCCCACAGCAGGTAGCCTCCTGAGTCAGCTGTCAAGGTCAGGCTGGGCTCTATCTATGACCTTGAGCACTGCTCCCCTGTGAGCCTCAGTTTCCCTAAAAGCAAAGTGAGTAGATTGAACTAGATCATTTCTGAGGCCCCTTTCATTTCAAAAATTCTTCAGGTCATAATTCTTCATTTAGAGTATGAAAGTTTCAGTTTTCCATAATCTTTGTTTATATTTACTCAGGGTTATAGTTTAACGCATCTGATTTTAAAAAAGAGTCTTTGCAAAATAGCTACAATCTCTAAAATCTGAAGCTTAAAAAAAAAAAAAAAAGAATAAAGAGTTCAACACTGAAAGCTAGACTATGATACCAGTAGCACAACAAATGAAAACACCATTCTTTAAAAATTTTAACCATACAATTTAATTTTATATTTCTTCTTTCTATTTAAGAGAAAATAACCCAAGCTTGAAAAGCAGTAAATATGTAAAGAGAAAATTTGTCAACTGATATTGGAAGTTCTGACCTAGGTCATACATAAATCTCCCAGACAAGAGCTGCAGGGCAAGCCATAATTTCCGGGAGTAAAAGAGAAAATGAAAGCTATAGCTGGTGTCTTCTCTAAGTTACACAGGTGAATTCATTTTAGTTTTCTGATTGTACCTCTGAATATAATGTAAAAGATCTGGTACAAAGGTCTGTTTTACCGCTGTTTGTAAAAAGTACCTCTCCAGAGAGAGAGGCATAAAGTGAGACTTCCAAAATTGCTTTTCATCACTGTAGTCATTGACTAGATAGTTCAGGCCCTACAAGCCAACTTTTGCATTGGCAATTTCTTTTCCAGAATCATTTTTCACAGTCAAGGGTCATGTTATAGGAGTTTTCTAATTGCTAACTGTATGGTCCTTGCAAGAAAATATTTGGTAAATGTTATTATCATAACACCAAGACCTAACTAATACTTGTGGCTGCCTTTATGAAGTCATTCTTCCCTGTTTAAACACATAAGATGTCTTACATCTGAATGGGGTATAGCTATCCCCTGTTAGTGTGGTTTTAAATCTTGGATGTAATGGCTGATGAAAGGAAAAACGCTATGCCCAGAAGAGGGAAGAGGTTCATTTAATTAGTGTATCAAAATCCTACTGGTTCTAGAGACTGATTAGCAAAGTATGTGACTGGAGCAATTATTGTTCTGTTCATTGTCCCAAAGTACTAGTTAGACAGAGAAAACATTCAACACAAGCGAAATGTGTAAGCAGGAATGTGGGCTTGGACAAGTCAGTTATAAACAGCATTTCATATATTGTGAGGGGCAGGCAGTACATCAGCCCTAACAATATTATTGTGTTCCTCTGAGCTCTGCTGTCACGGCCAAGCATTTGGAAGGCAGACCCGGAATAAAGATAGGCGTTTGCAAAGCTAACATTTTATATTGAGTACTCTTAGTACCACTTTTAATGTGCTATAAAACTAGGGGCCTCACTTTTTCATGAACTGTGTGCAAAAGCAGAGGCAATGACTGGAGGTTGACTTTGTTTGGAATTGTTTTATGGTTGCTGCGCCTGTACAGTAATGTGATCTTGAAAAAGGTAAACAACAAAGAGTTTAGCAGTGAAAAATATGCCTAATATAAATACAGTCGAGTACGTGGCAGTTCAGAATTTGAAAAATATGACTGTGGCGTTAAATTTTCTGGTGGAATTAACGGAGGAACAGAATACAGCCTTTAAGGCAATATATCTGACACGGAGAAAGGAGATAATACATCTAACTCTGTAGTCTATGTGGCATTCATATAAAGAAAGGCACAGTAGCTTTATTTAATTGAGAAAATGAATCAATTACAATGATGTTACATCATCAAATTCTTATGAAACAGAAGATATAAGTCACTGCATTGTGTAACACTGTTAAAAAGTAATTGAGTATCTTAAACATTCTGAATCAATTTCAGGTACTGGCGCTGCTACCTTAATACAAAATTTATGAAGATGATTTCATATAATATGTTGCTATCAAAACTATGTAATAAAAACGGATAACAATATCTCTCTTTAAAAACCTGGGCAAAATGGTATAGTTATAAGATCATAAAAAAGACTCTGATATTGCTGTTTTTCTCTTTCTTGTAGTAAAGAACAAGCATTAAAATAGTACAATTTTAAGTTCTCTTAGACTGTGCTTTTAAGCCACAGAATAGGGCAAGGTGGAGAACTGCTCTTAGATCTCGATTCATGAGGAAATTTTCTCCCCTCGACTCATTTGATTCACACACTCATATGTTACTGGGGACAGTTGTCTCATAATCCATTCCTGAATTCGTTTTGAAACCTCTCATTTCGAATGTTTGCTGTATATTTTCCTCAGAGAATATTATAATCCCCCTGACTCTTAGAAATTTGTGAAAAACATTCTCTTGATGTCAAAAGTGGATTTCTAATTCTTTGTTCATTACAAATAGCTCTCCTGTTCAAGTAGATATATCTTACTAAGAATGTGGGGACAGGGGGAGTATCCATGTGTGCTTGAAAAAAAAATAAAAGCGAACACCATAGATAACTCATAGGAGAAGTTACCCAGGCTTTTCAAGATTTTTTTGAAGGTGGTATGGTTTGTTACTAAAATCCTTAACTGCTCCACGATGGTAGTTAACAGCCTTGCCTCTCCTTGTAGCATAAATCTTTACCTTCACCGTGTGTGCCCATCAATTAGCTCCTGATTATTAGAGAGTACATGTGGTGTTTGTTTTTCCATTCCTGAGATACTTAAGATAATGATCTCCAGTTCTATCCAAGTTGCTGCAGAAGATATTATTTCATTCTTTTTTATGGCTGAGTAATACTCCATGGAGATCAAGAAGGGGGGAGGGGTAAAAACTTACCTGTTGGGTACAGTGAATACTATTTGGGTGATGTGTACACTACAAGCCCCAACTTAAGCATAATAAAAGGTATCGTGTATTAAAAAAATTTGTACCCCCTTAATATTTTGAAATTTAAAAAAAAATCTTTACCTATGGAGCCTTGTCTAGAAGTACTCATTGACTGGAGTAACCAGAAGGAGCAATAATTCAGGGCAGCACTAAGCAGGAACTGTCAATGTAGACTAAGAGCAAGCAACCTGGGACACAGGTTTCGCGGAGCATTCATGGTAATCAGGGAGGAGGTGATGAAGAGCCACAAGCAGCGATGAGAGGGCACATTGCTGATTTGAGAAATACATGGGAGAGCTCTTTTTAAAACACTCAAGCACTAGGTGGAAGGGTCTGCTGATCAGGCACGTGGATGCAAAAGAAATGCAGAAGCATAGCTGCAGCCCTTGAGAAGCTCATGGTCTGGTTGAGAAGAACCAAAGTGTCAAAATTGATACCTTATCAATTATACCATGCCAAGTATAAATGTGTGCAAATCCAGTTGTTTTTAAATAATGTGAAGATCGCAGGCAAGTATAATACAGATGTTGGAGGGAAAGGAGCACTGGAGAAGCCCCAGCACCACCACAGCCTGGCCCTGAGGCCTTAGGCCTGCGCCCTGTCCTCTGGCAGACCCAGTTTTCCCATCTTAGAATAGACGTGACTATCCCTGCTAATCTCACGGTGGTCGTGCAGATCAAATGTGTGTGTATGGGAAAAAACTTCTAAAAGCACCATTAAAAACATATAAAGGACTATTATAACACTGTTTTCCCTGTATTTTACCAGCTAGTTGGAGCTCATTTATCCCAGAAAACAATTGACCCATCAGTAGTGGTATTTGGTTCCTGAAAATTTCCCTCTTAGAAAATGTAGTACCTGGGACTCCATTTTCATTGAATTTGTAATGACTGTAGGCATTTTTTTTTTTTTTTTTGCTGGATGGTAAGGCATTGAAGTGTTTAATACTTTAATGACTAAGTGGATGTTTTATTAATTTTGTGTCACATTTTAGTAACTTTCTAAGAGATGTGGTTTATCAGTGTTAAATGCGTGAGCAGCCTGCCTTCTGAATGTTGATCAGGAACAGGCACTCTTATTGGAATGTGCTTTTATTCCCTGAAAAACAATGTAAAACTTGCACAAATTTGATTTTCCCAGAGAGCATTGTTGCCCTGGAAATAGGCTGAAGTAACTTTGGAAAAGGTGGAGTCTTTACCTCACTCCTAAGTTAGAGGCAAATACTTCAACCACATAATTAAAGTTTTCTTCACAAAATAGGGGATTGTGAGCAGACATTGGCAGGAATCCAAAATTCTAATTTCTGACTATGATTTAATTTCAATTTTAAATAAATCGGTTTTTAATTTAAAAAGAGTGAGCTTCATAACATTAGCAATGATTGCAACATTAAGCCCAGTGTTCACAATCTAGCAATATAAAACATTATTTATATCTGAATCGTAAACAGCCTTTTGAAATGGATTATGGTTTTTCTCCCTATTCTAATACAACCTGGAGGGTACTAAAAAGTGTTGTGTGAAATTAACATTCTGCTGACTTTCGCCTATAAATGAGAAGCGAGCTATTAACATTTGTGTATTTTCATTATGTAAATTGTGTTAACACATGCCCACAAATTGCCACCAGCAATGCAATAATTTTCTCTCAGTGATCATAATGTGTCCAAGTGAGTCATTTTGATTATGACATGCTAATTACATATTGCCTTTTTTCAGATTCAGAAAAACCAGGGATCTTTAATGGTAAGCTTTATGAGTTCAGAAAAAAATTCACTTTTCTTTTTCCTGATGGCTGCTTCCTTTGCATGCTTGAATGCCTTGTTTTAAACTTAGCAAATTGCATTTTGAAGAAAATGCAAACCTTTAACTGCCTATATTAGATTAGGTACCATTAGAAATAATAGAACATCCTGAGCATCAATGTTTTTATAAGAGTTTGCTGTTGTTGATTAATCTTGCTATATTTTATTGCATTAATGATTTTTTCTTTCCACTCCACTGTAAAGATATTGCATAGAGGCTAATACTTTTTCCTCTCTTCTTTTCCATTGCAGCCTCTCCAGCTTCTGCAGTGCATTGTTGATGAGGTGAGGCATCGTCTTATGTGCTTTCACTCCTAAAGTCATTCCTAATGGTGTGGAAAGCTTATATTTTGTTTCCTAATGAAGCACAATGCCCAACATCCTCGGAGCAAGTTGTGTTGTATGGCTCTGAGCTGTGTTACGTGAACTAGCCTTGTCCTGAATCCCACTCTTCTGATTCTGGCCAAGAAACCCTGCAAAAGCAGACTGTCCCACAGGCTGATCCTCGGGGGTATCAGAGGCCCTAAAGACAAAACACAGTAATATTAATTGATCCTCTCCCTGGCCAGATGGGGATGGAGCCGGAAATTAAAATGGTATCATTTTTTCCATAACAGATATTTAAAGTCATTCAGTAGGCAAGGGTCAGAGTTGAACAGCAAGCATAGCTGGATAAAATTTGCCTTTCTTGCTTTATTTACCCAGAGCATACCAGGGTGATAAAAGGGTTTAAAAACTCTAAGTCAACAGTTCAGCTATAATTTCCTAATTAGGCCTTTTCCTCAGAATAACTAGAAACTAGTATTCTCACGTTTTAAGTCATCTTACCTCTAATTATCCTTATCTGTCAAGTTCCACTGTCCCTTTTTAGAGCTAATCTACCTATATTTCTTTCTCAGCCAACGTTTTCTACTTCTTATTCTGACTTTAAATTCTTTTTTTTTCTGTAAATTAACAATCTTATAGTACACAAGGCTCTCAAGAAACATTAACATTTTTTTAAAACTGAGCTTTTCTGGGCTTGGGTTTGCCTACTAGCAATGTTTATTTTTTAAACTTTAATTTTATAATATTTAAAACACATGTAATTAGAGTGGGAAGGCGATAAATGATTCAGATAGGAAAGTTTGAAAGAAAAAAACAAACCATAATTCATAATTATTCCTCTCAATTAAACATCTGTATAACCAGTTATGAGATTTGGGAGAAAAAATAAAGATCCTCTAAGGAAAAAAACCAACACACACACATATCACAATAATAGTAAGAATGGGGCTCAAACATCCTTAATGGTTGCATCAGTCAGTCCATATATCCCCTGCAAGCCATAAACCATGTTGGTGTAAAAATGAAGGCATCGTCCTGAAACAAATGGAGGCTCCATTATCTCAAATATCAGACAGGCCTCCTGGATCTAATAGCTCATCAATATCTTCTGTCATCTTAGATTTTAAAGCATCCTATCCCCATCAGAATCCTCCCAATTAAACCGATTTTCTGAAGTCCCCCTCCAGTTTTGCTTGGGGAAGTGCCCAGAGAAACTTGGCCTATGCAGTTAAGTGCACAGCCTGCTGTGTTTCTTGGGCTCCACTTTTCTTGGTCTGCTGGGCTCCTGGGCATCAGGGCATTCAGGTACGGATATTTCTCGCAAATAATATGTGCATTGCTGGAGAGATAATTTGAAGGTTTTCTAGATCAAATAGATATTTTCATTCCTTGTTTAAAATAGCAGTGATTGCTATTAAATTTAAAATATTTTACTATTTAATTTGGGCAAAATCTTGAGATACTTGAAATTAGTAAAAGGACTGGTGGAGTCCTTTAATTACCGTGCTTGTGTTTGTCACATTTCTCATTGCTATGATGCAGTGTTCCTCACAGAGTGGCCCAAGGACTAACTGCAACAGAATTACCTAAGACTCTTGTTAAAATGCAGATTCCTGGGCCCACATCACTGAGTTAGACTTTCTAAGGGTCGTGCCCAGGATCTACTAGCTTCCCAGGTAACTCTCTGCACATTAAAGTTTGAGAACCTCTTCTATAATGGCTTTTTAAGGCTAAGCCTGCCCTTTTAGGTCCCTGAAACTTTAGGACCATGAAACTTGGACCACAGATCAGGAACTGGAATGGTAGCCAAAGTAACAGGAGAATTGAGCTCCAATCAGAAATCTGGGCAATCCAATTTAATTTCGGTGGGTGGAGTATATCTGGCTTGGAGCTGGCTAGCTCAGGTGTGAGTGATATCTTAAAGACACCATCTGGTGTCTCAGAGTTGCTTCTGTCAACAGAACTTCTTACCTTAAGACCCTTCTGTAATCAAGTCCTCCCCAAGTCCCTGAATACCTGTGTTATAAAGTGCTTCGGTTCATTGTAAGTGATGTGTGTCTACATGTACCTGATGCCTTAGCCACCTGGTATCCTTGGGGAATAAGGTGGCCCCTGTTGTCTTGATAACTGAAATTTATGACTTTAAGCTCTGACATCTATGAGAATTTTTGCATTTTTAGAAAGAATTGTTTCTAAAATATATTTGTTCTTGGTGGCCTGTTGACAGAGTGTGGCGAATATCATTTAACCTTTTCTCAATGACTCAGGTCCTTGTTCTGAACATGGTACTGAACTTAAACTTTGATGTATTGATGCCCTCTAGGGCTGTAAAATTGTGTGCGGCTTACCTTGTTCTTTCACTGAATTTTACCAACCATTTTGCCAGAGTGTTTGGCCTTGACACTCAGTGATATTCATAGGCCTCTTGAAGTGTATAGAGCCATTTGCCCCCAAGCTAAACAGCCCTATACTGCTATATACTGCTTTGTTTGATGCTTTTCCTGTGTCCTCTGTTGTGATTGCCTCTGTTCTCTGTGGGCACTCCTCATTCTTATCAGTGACTACATTTTGCCCCAAAAATCTGACCATCTGTCTTCAGTCTTTGCAGTCCTGATAGTGACCCTCACAAAACTAAAAAGTACCAAATGAAATCAGATACTCAAGTAGTATGTGTAGGGTCAAACAGGCTCATCCAAAAGGGGAGATAGAGATTTATACACCTCTTTAATGAAGTGAAATGGGCTAGTGAATGTGTTCATTCATTCAGCAGGTAATTATCAAACACCTACCATATGGTAGCCTAAGTTGATCAGGCCATGGTCAGGACAGCCTCCAATCGTAGAGAGGATTCAGCTTCTAGGCAGGGCACCCGGGCCGACTGCAGACTAAATCTGTGAGTCAGGGTAGAAAGGTAAAAGCACAGTCCCACATGCTGGGACTCAGGAGGCTACATAGCCACCTAAAGCTACCCCCCAGTGCCTGGGCTCCAAGAGTGGCTAGTAACAAAGGGCTGGCCACGTTAGTCTTGTGGCAAGCGGAAATACTGCAGTGATGTCTGGGTCACCAGATGCCAAGCTGGCTGGATCCAGCTAGTGGGGGCTGTCAGTGGATAGAGGTGCTAAGAACTGCAAAAACTGAAATGGAGACCTTACCCTTGAGCCTGCCCCTGGGTACTCCACAGCCTTGGAAAAGAGATAGGCACAAAAGTGAATAATTACCGTTCAATGTAGGATGAATACTATAGGACCCAGAGGTGAGAGGGTTTGTTCCATCAGGACTGAAGGTTGATTTGGAGAAGGCTCCTCAGGGGCAGTAACATTTAAGCTCAGTCTTAAAGGATAAGTTGGAGTTTCCTAGGTTAAGAAAGGAAAAATGTAAATGTCAGGCAGAAGGGCTTGAAACTATCTTGTGAATCATTTTTGAGTTCACAGATGTGTTTCAGAATGTTCAGGTTGTCTAAAATATGACAACTAGAAAAATGGGTTATTACTCTGAGTTTATATATGTTTCAAGCACATTATAGCTAAAAATTCTCATCTAGCATCTGTAGGTGCTCAGCAGGACAATTAACAAATCCTGGATTTATACTTTTGTTTATTCATTCATTTTATCCATAAAAAGTGAATTCATTTAAGCCATGTTTTATACCTGATCAGAAGTAGCTTTTATACAAAAGTGTTGATTTGTTAGTAAGAACTGTAAGATTTGTAGAATACCAAAATGCTTCTGAAATACAAGCACAAACTTTTAGTGGTCAGTAATGGCCTACAGTTGGGCCAGGTGTGTAGATAAACAGTGTGTTTAATTGTTTAAGGTGCTAGCTGAATAATTCTGAGATTTGCTGATCATTTCTTCCCTGCTGTGGGTATAAAGGAAGGAGGATTTGGTCTTAGGCATAGCAGAGCACTTGGTGTAGAACATCTGGATGGGACTCGTGGAGAGTCACAGCTTCTGCTTACTCTAAAGTGGCTTTCTGAGGAAGATGGGCACAGAAGCAGGGCTTTGGTAGGGGACAGTGGTGTGTAAGCATGAAGACCAATGGACAACCGGGCAAGGAGCCGAGTCCAGGGGGAGAAGACAAAAGTAATCAGTAACAGAAGTAAATTTTGAAAATTCACAGATATGTGGAAACAGCACACTCCTCAATAGCCAATGGGACAAAAAAGAAAGCGAAAGGGAAATTGGAAAATACTTTAAGATGAACAAAAATAAAAATACAACATACCAAAACTTACAAGATACAATGAAAGCAGTGCTAAGAGGGAAGTTTTTAACTGTAAATGTATACATTAAAAAAGAAGAAAGATCTCAATAGCTCTACCTCCTACCATAAGAAACTGGAGAAAGAAGAGCAAATTAAACCCAAAGCAAATAGAAGGAAGGAAATTATAAAAATTACAGCAGAAATAAATGAAATAGAGAAGAGAAAATAAATGAAACCAAAAGTTGGTTCTTTGAAAAGATCAACAAAATTGACAAACCTTCAGCTAGACTTGGGGGTGGGGGACAAGTCTCAAATGGCTAAAATCAGGAATGAAAGGACATTTTATTGTAGACCTTATAGAAGTAAAAGGGATTAGAAAGAAACAGTATGAACGATGGTATGTCAATAAATTAGATAACCTAGATGAAATGGACAAATTTTTAGGAACACAGTAACTGCTGATACTGATTCAAGAAGAAATACAGAATCTGAGTAAACCTGTAACAAGTATAGGTTGTCTCCTATAACAAGTAAGGAGATTTTTTTTTTTTTTTAAGAAACTTCCCACAACGGAAAGCTCAGGATTATTATATATAGTTTTACTGGTAAAGTCTACCAAATATTTAAAGGAGAATTAAAACTCTTCCAAAAACATAGAAAAGGAGGGAGTACTTCCTGATTTCTTCTATGAGACCAGAGTACCCTGATATCAAAGCCAAAGACTTCACAAGAAAGGAAAACTACAGACCAATAT